GATCAATCGATGTTGGTAGACAATAGAGCAAGTCCAGGATAGGATCAGTTAATTAACGAAATCTAGAGACGGGAGGTGTCCTACAACTTGCTATTTACATGAGGCATTGTTATTAACGACGCCCATCATAAGCGTCTCCGTTGCCAAGCAGCCGTATCCAATCTACACCCTTGGTATTCTCTATAGCTGACTAGACTCTAGATTCCATCTCTGCCGTACTGATGCAGACAGCACACACACAAGGGAGTATTCCTATAACACGAGTCACCTATCCAAATCCACCAGAACCTCGGCAGGGCCCGGAGCAGCATTGCCACACAAGAAGCGAGCACATCGGGCTCAATACTTACCTACACAGAAGGAATGTGCGAGGAGTTGGGGAAACCATGCTGCCAATCTGGCTACCCGTTCCAGAATATAAATCACATGGTGATGTCTTGTCCAAGAAGGGCAAAGGGAAGAGGCGAGTTGCCACGGAAATCGACAATCCGATCATTAGAAGCTATGGTAAATAACGTCCAAGATATGACTAGAATTGCACCGTCGTCTCAAAAGGAAGCATGGCTAGAGCAGTTTCGAATGACCGGAGAAATCGAGGAGTTAATTGGGCAAAGAGAGGAAAATGGAAACACAGTGATGTAAAAATCTGAGTTCATAACTGCACACACCTTCAGGGGATAACTGTGCACCAGCAAAGTTAACGCCTTAGAGTCTGATCACTGTTGCCTCCTGGTCGCTACACACTAACATCAACGTGTTCACTACAATGAGGACACCATTGTAGTTACTCTAGCTATCATAGACAATACCATGTAGAGGAATAAAGGTAGGAACTCCTGTATAAAGATAGGGCCTTTTTACTCTCAGTATCTACATCAATCATCCACAAATACAATTCACCATCAATCAACCATCTTACCCTGTCCAAGTGATCTATTGAATTCTCCCATACCTATCAGTATTCTATTCACAAGGTGACGTCTCCCTATCCATCGCCCTCAGCCTTTCAATACACAGGACATGGACGGAAACCAAACCTGCAACAACAGTGTGAATGCACTTCCCAGAGGTAAGACTATAATGGCGTAGAGTCTAATCGGACAGCTAAGGGGGTTTTACTGCAAGGTTTCCTCTTATGTAAATATTAAAGTTCGTAGACATCTGCATGGGCCCATAGGGCGCCAAATCGGGCTAAATGAATTCAAATTCAAAAGCAAACGGATTTGTCTCAAGGATGAGGGTTTGACCGTGTTCCACGGGGTGCGTTGTATAGCCTAGTAAAGATCTAGGTGGCAAGTGAAGATAATAAATGGGTCAAAGGGATGATAGGTCTTCTCTAGGAAGAGATGAGTGGGCAACTAGTTGCAGTAGACGTTACACGTGGATCTTGCTGATGAAGAACTGGGCAATGGATATGTGGTCTTCCCGAAGAAGAGATGGGAAACAAATTTATTGCAAAGAATAAGTAAAGAAGACGTTGCGTGACGAGTAAATCTCTCTCAAGCTGAACTATTGTATACAAGAGTAGAAGCATTTGCCAGCCGGAATTAATTGTAATCAATCCTTGCCAATATCTTCGCATTAATGGCTGTGTTCTTGTCCTCCTCTCCATGACTCGCTTGTATATCCTTACATGACTTTTTACACGACTAGTCGTATAGGGGAAGCTATTATTGAATTGATGGTTTTAATTACTACCCCTTCATCTTACCATGAATTAATATTAGTATTAAAATTGAATTTGAATTCATTATCCTGATTCGGCGCCCTATGGGCCCATGCAGGTGTCTATCATACTTTCTAATTTACATGGGAGGAAACCTTTGGTGAAAACGCCTCAAACTCTCCAGCTTAATTTCTATGTTTTTTTTATAAAGTATCCTTTAGGAAGCGCAGTTACACTATAGTGCCCTCCATATAACCCAATCACATCAGCTTTATCGACCTCAAGAAAGGCATGATCTGTTCCTTTCCCTCAGCAGCATTTCGACCGCCTTTGTCATCTGGAATTGCTCTATCCAACCATGATTAAGGATCCACTGTGTTAATCTTTTGATATCTCCAGGATTGCTTAGCATAGCTTCGTAGGATCGATCTCTCGCTTTTCTCCAGATCTCTCCTCTTCCATTTGACCATCGAGGGCAGGACATAATCATGTGCTTGGAGTTCTGCGATTGGTAGCTACATGTACAGCTTGGACTGTAGACTCCGGGTACTTTTCTTCTGTATAAATACAAGTTGAGCCCCATGTGCTCACTTCGTATTTGAACCGCTAGACTGCTTTGGGCCCTTGTCAGGTTTCGGTGGAGTAGGAATGGTGATTCCTGGAGACTTATCTTCCATCGATCCGACTTTCGGTTCTGATAGAACTTGACTGCTCTCCAGGTTTCAGGGTCGGCGAATATTAGTATTAAAATTCTAAGTACGGATCCGTCAAAATTTAACAACACAATTATGCTAATGTCACGTGAATGCTAAGAACTGAGCCAGATCGAGAAAGCAATTAACCATCAAAAGAACTCACAACTTCATTCATCCAATACTGACCAGAGAGCCTAGCTTAATACCTATATCTGTGATCCCTTGTCACCACCAATAAGTACATGAGGCTATTCTGGTATCTTCCTCACTGCCCTCTTATGTGTAATTACAAAGTTCCATAACCCTGTCGCTGATCTACATTTTGCCTATGAACTGTACCCCATCATAATACTTTTTTTTTTTTTCATTCGGTCCTAAGCTAAAGCTATGTTTTCCACATTGGGTCAAGGACCGGTGGAGCCGGCAGGGTTCCCTGTGATCTTTCCTACAGCCTAACTCGTTCCAACCTCGTGAATCTCTGCCAAAAGTGCAGCTGATTAAACTGAAACGAAAAACCAAAAAAAACAAAACAACTCCGAAAAAAAACCAGAAGATTCCTTCACATTGGACCCAAGCAATGTGCTTCTCACACATTCCGTCGTCCGTCACACCTTCCAAATGACAAAATTTATTCAATCTCCGCTGAGAGCAAGAGATGAGTTAGCAGGCACCCTTGATCCAGCCGGTATCCTGCTATTGGTTAGTAGATGCCCCAAAAGGGGACATCGTCGAGGTTGCTGTGTCCTCAAACTTCTTCTTCAGATCCCAGAGCTCCGAAACCTGTTGCCTCGGCCATCGAGACGTCCTTCGCCGCGGCGATGATCGCCTCTTCGGCCTTTTTTGCTGCAGCCCTGGCTCGTGCCACCTTCGCGAACTCCCCTTGTTCGATGTGGCGAATCCACGCGAGCTGCTCTTTGGTCACCGGTCCGGATTTTTTTGGTCTGACTTGGCAGGCCCGAGAATCCGATCGGTGAGGTCCCCCACAGTTGCGACAGCGTGTGAGGGCCTTGCACTCTGTTTTGGAGTGCATATTTGATCCGCAGTTCCAGCAAGCTGGAGCGCGGGAGCAGCCACGAGTGGCGTGGAAGCCCAAACAGCGTTTGCACTGTTCAATTGATCGACGAGGCTTGTGGATGGTAGCCATACCCGAATCGTCGAAAAGGCGGAAGCCCGCACGAAGGGCTTCGTCCCGGTGAAAAAGGGCATGCCAGTTTCGATAAGGCGATCCAGGCTGACATGTCCCATAAGGTCGGACCTGGATTGGATACGCGCTGGTCGTAAGGAAGATCTCAGCGGTGACACTTGCAGCATTGGTCGCTACGGGGCCGCACTGTGAAACGATACTTACAGGCACGTTCGGTATCTGTAAGGCGACAAAATCCGAAGATGCTTCGAGTTTGGCGTTTTCACTTGCCAGCTTCGGAGAGACATCTAGGATCTCTTGTCGTATTTTTTCGTTCTTTGCTATAATAGCAAAGCCGGTCTTTACTCGATCAATCGAAATCATATCATTGTAAGAGAGATTAAGCGTGTCCGCTACCTTACTTTTCACAATGTTGTTTGAGAGATTCCGCCATGGGTGCTCCTTTTCCAGGCGAAGGAACTGTCGTTTATCGACTTTCGCCTTGGGAGCTTCTTTCTTTTGAGCTTTCGCCGCAGGTCGCGGCACAGCCTTTGCTATAGGAACTGCATTTTGTCGCAGTCCATTTTTGGCCACCGTGGCCTAGGTGCTTTTTATAGACAGAACTGGGACGGCGGAAATTGTTGTGCTCCTGGCGTCGAGCGAAGAGGTAGAACGGGTGGCGTGATGGCCGGGCCCGTGGCCATGTATTGCGCAATGGCGGCGCGTAAGTAGACTCTCATCGAGTCTACGAATTGTCTATTTGACCCGTTGGTCAAAGGGAGGAGGGTGGCTTCGACGCCAGAGATGGCGGTGGAACAGAGGGCCAGATTTGCCGCTGTTTCGGCGGCGCGTCGTTGTTCAGCTTCGACAATTGGTCGAAGCTCCAGGGGACACTCTGCTTTTGTGGCAGCTTTTGGCTGCGACGTTGATTTTAGCGCTGCTTTGACTGCAGCATTTTCCGACGGTTTTGACGCTGTCGGAGGAGATTTTCACGATTCTCCAGTCCCGTGAGGGACGGAGGATGGTTGGGGAAATTCCTCAACAATTTCAACTGACCCGACCATATCAGTATCGGGCTCAGCGACGGCGGGGATGACTTTTGCTTTCCCTTTCATTGAGGCCTTGCTCATCTCCGCGTATTTCGGAGGCTGGACAAGACTAGATAATTGATCGAGAGCCCTCGGGCGGACTATCGTGTTGTCCAACGTGGCGTTGGGACGCTTTTTACGAACAGGTGGAATGTTGAAAATGCCAGCGACTCGATCACAATGATTTGATAGAATGCGACGAGCGCGAGAGGGAGGGAGAGGGGGAAAAGATGAAGATTCGAATTTTCGAATTTTGAAAAATTGTGCGTTTGTTTGTTTTCTATTTTTCGTCCGTCGGGGCGCCAAGCTTGACGTAGGTCCCTACTACCCACTAAACTACCTAGAGGCATGGACGCCAGTGCTTACTGCCCTGGTGGCTTCGCCCTTGCTACTTCCTAACTAGGTTTGCAGGGTAGTTCTCTAATTACATGATTGCGTTTGGCATAGCACCTGCACTTTTTCAGCCAGTCCCCGAGGCTCTTTACTCATTTAATGTATAACAACCACTCTCGAGATACTACTAATAGATCCATCCATAATGCAAGGCTCAGAGTTGGGGCAGAGTTGAAGACCCATTTATTTCTTCCCTTGGGTTTCTAGGGCAGGTCTTTATGTAAAACTCTGAGATAGAAAGCCACTTTGCTAGACGTAGGGCCCCTTCCCAGGTTCCTAGCAAAAATTTCTTTGGGTCCCTTGGAGATGCTGGAGCTCGAGGAGGTCTATGAGTGGTTAGATGGCACTCTAGCAAGTGCAATGGGGCTTTGAGCTGTCCGCAGCCACAATGAAGGTTAGTGCCCTCGTGATTGAAACGGCGGTGGTACTCTGCAAAGTCACCATGTCCTGAGCGGGCAGCGTATAGTCTAGAGAGAAATGGTCTGGCTAGTGTGAGTTCCTTAGGGTTACAAGAGTATGAGTCAATGGCAAGCTCCTTATAGGATACTGGGGCATGTCGGTCCCAGTAGTCTTTCATAGCCATCGATATTAAAATACTTTTGTCTGCTAACAGTAATGAAATAGTGAGTATCAAAGAGGCGAAAGAGCATGTGATCACCGTCACGCGCTACAGGATAATTATCGGCTCACTAGCTGTTGCAACTTAGCAAGAGTATTGTGGACTCGATATTTGAAGTGTGAAATATAAGGTCTGTTTCTATTTCACCTTAGTTTGTAAAATGGCTGCCTCCACCTTAAGTCAGCCCTCTGCTGGATCTTTTTTATGTAAAATAGATGCCAGATCCTAGAGACCTTCAAACTTGGACGAAAATTTCACAATAATAACGTGTTCGAAATCATTTATAAGAGATTGCTTCTATTCGTAGTTCTATTCAGAAGGAGAGTATACTACAGTTCCAATTGATGAGAGACTGACTCCGTGTCCCAACCAAAGCTCGTACATCCGACCATGAAAAGTAAAAAATGACCCAAGATCATGACGAAAACTTTTTTGGAGGCAGTAATCCTTCTCGGTGGTATCTCGTGATAACCCTAGTACCATGTACTTCACGGGAGCGATTTTAATTTTGGGCCATCCTTATTCTTGCTATCTTGAAGCAACATAAAATTTTATGGATCGTTGAGTATCTATATTTATACACCCATATAGTTGAGTCCTTCCAAAATGATAATTCCATCCGGAATTTTATTATGAAGAAATATGATTTTGTGTAACTTACGATGCCAAATGATCGCTTCACGGATACCGCTTATAAGCTCACGCACGGTTGAAGATAACTTGAATAGTTGACCTTGGAGTTGATGTTTGGCGAAAGAGAGTTCACATTTTTTTACTAATCCTTGTCCATTGGTTTCATCAATTTGCCCATGGAGAGAATGGTTCCTTCCACCATCGTTTTCTATATATATCCAGCCGAAAATTCAATCCCGTATCGAGCAGTTTCGACAATGTATAGACCCCAAGACCTTAGATGTATAAATCATGGTAGACTTCTTGGAGTTTTCGGATGTTTAATCTCACATCACTTTGTACTAAAGCCCAGTGAAAACTTGATCGGATACTTGTTGTCTCTCGTCTTAAAACAGGTATCTCCTCGCGGGCTTGTCGGCTACCATCAAAACACTGGCTGTGGGGAGGTCTTAATTATCTTTCCTTGCAATTGCCGTTTGGAACTTTGATGAAATAGAGGTCATCTTCATCGTAGCTTATAACTGGATCTAGCCAACACTCCTCATTACTAATGCATTTGAGAATATAGCGCCAAAATCTGTGTTTCCTAACGATCAAGTCCATTTAATCGGAGCAGTATGCACCTGCTCGATCGACGACCAAAATCTCAAGGTAATTTTCGTGCAGAAAATTACATTCACAAATCGACGCATCGGCAGCGCATAAAATATTTTGCGCCCGTACACTACCGACCGGTGGATCTTGTCAGCTTTATGTACGGGTGACGAGATCAACTCGCCTAGTACTCTGGCGTCTCTCCAATAGTGCTGTTGACAACCACAATGGCTGCAGCCTCAATGAAGAAGTCAAGCTTTCGTTCAATAAGGCCACCCTCGAGTTGTTTGTTTGTTTATGGAGTGAAAAATTACCCTTGCGGCTTGCGATTATTTGTTTCCTTGCTTACGATGGGTTTACCGCTTTCGGAGTTTGAACTTTACTCATTGGTTGTCTCAGGAACCGATCTATGAAGGCGTGTAGCCATTGTCGCATCGCTGCTTCGTCCAAATTATCTGAGAGGTTTTCGCTTTCGTAATAACCATGATCACAATAGTTTTGCCACATACGCGAGGTTAGGTCAAACCGAGATTTGTTTTCGAAGTGTATTTCCCAAAATTTGCCTGAAAGTTTAGCTTTGAGCGCTTGCGGGATATCACTTGCAAAGTCATCATAACCGGTCGATTCCGCGATACACCACTTCTTAGACGTCATTTAATATTTTTGTTGTATCATAGGTATCTTAGTGGTCTGTAGATTTGATGATGTTTCATAGGTAATTTTTTTTGCAGTATCGATGACGCTGGCCTAGATTTGATAATTTCTGACAGAGTTGTAAATTGATGCTTCAAGTTTTTCAAAATTAGAAACGGACGCTTTACTTTTCCTGAACTTAAATTATGTATCAAGGGACCAGCCAACTAATCAAGAAATTGCGGGGTATCTTGAACTTTATCATGTATTGATATAAGTTATACATCAATTTTTCGATTGGTTCTCGTAAAGCTTTTATGTCTTGACTCTGTAAGAGAAACTGAACATTTGTTGGAATACTGTGGATTGTAGTTGTTCCTGAATTTACTGTGTTTATTATCAAGCGGATTTAAAGTATTGAATGCCTTTAGTACATAGAATTGACTCATCTTGTGTGATTGTAACGTAGAATTGTTGATAGTTGATTAAAATGGGCGTTCTTCGTTATGTCTAATTGTTTGTTTGTTATTGGAATTCATGTCAGTTCGAAATATATTCTTACGGCCTCGAGCTGGCCAACTTGACTTTTGTTAACTTCTCAATGTACCAGCGCTTTCACCAAAGTTCGACGTGTAACGGACCAGCGCACTCTGTACCCGAAATTATCAATAGAGTTTAGAAGTGCATCTCCAGAGATCCTTGTTTTTAAGAACGGTTTTAGAGATTTTAATCTGTAGTGAAAGGAATATTACTTACAATCTAGACGAATAATTTACCAAATGCCCGTCAGGGTTTAGGAGGGCGGAGTGCTGGCTAGTGTTTTCACCAGATTGACTCGAAAGAGCAGCTATCATGGAATAATTTACTTAAGACTGTCGCCACTTTATGAAATCTTAAAGTCCATGGTATTCCTAGCGTTGGATGTTTAGTTTCACCTTCGTGGTGGAACTTAGTCGAATAGAGTCATATAAAATTAGTTATCAGAGGAATTTCCCTGTCCGCAGAGAATGTCTAGAAGCGTGTTCAGCTGGTTGAAGTGGTGAGGATGATCAACTTTGTAACTGTGACTTGAACTGGATCGAGAGCTACCAAAGTTTAACAAATGGGGCCCTTGGGTTCGAGGGAACCGCTAATATTGGCACTGATACGCTAAATGTGATATTTCTGGAAAGAATTTTGAGCCTAATGAGAGGCTGAAGAGGCTTAGTTATAAGATAATATTTCTCTTGGGTCGAGAGATTGATTGGCATGTAAGTTTGCCATTATGGAGTGGTCTACTGTTAAGATATTGAGATATTTGAGCTGCAGGGATAATTTGGTGTTTGAGGTTATCCTTCGCATGTATGAGACATGTGATGTGAAGAAGTGGAAAAAGAATAGTGTGCTATGGATAGATGAGGAGTATGAAGAGATTTTAATTAAACAGCCAGATGACTAAGCAAAGTCGTCTAATAACTAGTTTTTTGTTCTGTAGGCGGCTGCTACGCTAGAGCGAACGCAACAGGAGAGTCACGAAGTATTTGGACTTAGTCCGAATGTCGGTATTAGAAGGGCTCCGCATCCAGTGCTTTTAGCAACTTTCCCTGGCAGTCATATGTTGTAATGGAAGTTGTACAGAGAAGCTTAAGCTGTTAGGCTTGTATTTAATATCACCAGGTCAACAACCACATTTCTCGGAAAAGCCATTTCATCAGTAACTTAACCAAATCATCGGCTACAACCAAATAAATTAGATATTCAATTTCGCATCATTCCCATCTACAATTTGATATCTTTTACTACTTCTGCATCACTGGGTCAAGCTGATAGAGGCAACAACGATGGTTTTCATCAATCTTGGTGAAAACTTTTCATCTCAGCCTTGCCAAGAATTGTCATGTGACTTGAAAAATTGACTGACAGGGAATATTAACTTGGCTGATAAGTTTGCTTTATTAAAAAAATTATTAAAAAAAGTAATTTTAAAATATAAAATATATTGAATAAAATTCATTCAAAATTTTAAGAAATCGCAAAAATTACATATCTAAGTAAGAAGAGTATTCCCAAACTAATGATTCAAATAGCATGTATGATCCTGCTTCATTAAGTATGGACATGGAAATTTACCAATGAGAATCCTCAAGCCATTTTGCTAGCCAGCTATACCACTTACCAGAAGAAGAATTTCCTCCTCTGTTACCAAGTGCTAAAAGGGCAAAGTTAAACAACAATGATGAGGATGTGGAGTTTAGCAGTGATCCAATAGCTAGTCCAACCAATTTGAATCATGGCAAGCCCAATCATGTTCCCTATATTGGCCCAAATCCAAGTATAAAAGGGAAGGAAAAGGAATCACTCTCTTCATCCAAATATGCCAACCCCCCAGCAACCACTGGAAATGAGGAGGAGGGTACAAAGGAAGTCCTCTTACAGGCAAGAGACCTCATTGTCAAAGCCTACCATCTAACTAAAAATCGATCTGAACAATCTCAAGTCCTTGACCTTCTAGAAGTATTCAGGGAATAAACTGAGAAAGGTAACCTATGCAAGGCCTCTACAATAATTGTATCACAAGTTGCCAATCTGGAGACAGCCATCCGACAAATTGAAACCAAAGCAAGGGCTCTTTACAATATAGTTACACCAGTGCTGCCTACCCCAGTAAACAAAAGTTCAGCCCAAAAACAGCATTGCACAAGTGCTCAGCTAACACAACAATATGCTTCCATGGCCTCTATGGCAGCAAGGGGAGTTGGAAAATCAACAGATCCCTTACAATGGACTGTTGTAGGAAAGAAAAATCAAGTCAACCAAGCTAAAACCCAGCAAAACATACAACCAAGAGACAAAGTTATCAGAAGCGTGATTCTTGTAGAAGGCCCTGAAGCAAGAAATAATTTCACATCCTTTCATGCTAGAAACAAAATCAACCAGGTGTTTGCATCTAATGGAATCAAAGGACCTGTGGTAAATACAGTATTGAAGACTCAGAATGGAAATATTGCCATAACCACCACAGAAGAATATTCAGCTGACTTCTTCCTTGAAAAAAGACCAATTCGGGAGAAAATAATATCATTTGTATCTGTGCAAAAAGATGAGCCATGGCTCAAAGTAATAGCCCATGGAATCCCTCTGGCTGACTTTCACAATGTAGATGGAATGTAGATGATCAAATCTGAAATAAAAACATTAAACAAAGGCCTGAACCCTATTGGAATGCCACACTAGATATCTACCAGGTAAAACAGCCAAATCAAACAAGCAGGATCAGTGGCTATTGCATTTGCCACTTAAATAGAAGCAGAAAGAGCCATCCAGAATAGACTGTATATTTCTGGAATAAGCTCAAGAGTCACAAAGTTCTACAATGTAGCTCCCACCACTTAGTACAATAAATGTCAACCATTTTGCCATGTAGAAAGCTACTGCAGACGAGATGCAGCCTGCCGAATCTGTGGAACTCGAGACCACAGCAGCATTACTGCAGTGTCTGTAATGCCAAAGGAGCACAATGCAGTCATATGGCACCTAAGTGTGCTAACTGCAATGAAAATCATACAGCCAATTCAAAGACCAGCCAGGTTTACCTGAGCATTCGAGATAAGGATGAAGAGATTGACCTTCAATGTCTGACACACCAGATATCAAGGTCCTCCAAATAAATGTAAACAAGAATCAATATGCAACAGAGAGTGCTCTTCAAAGAGTAATAGAACTTAATATTTCAATTTTAGCAATACAAAAGCCTTGGCTTACTCCAAGGCAGTTAGACCAGAATAATTTCCTTACCTGTAGATCTATCAACCATCTAAATTTTTTACAAATATTTCCTAATTTCCCACCCATTCAAAGGCCTCGAACTATGCTCTATATTTTTCGTCAACTAAACCATAAAATTAAGCTCCATAACAACTCACTCAAAGATCCTGACCTATTAGCTATTGATATCACTGATGAAATAGGCTCCATAACACTTATCAACATCTACAGTCAAATTCGAGATAATAATCCAACACTCCAAGCTCTTCCCCACAATTTCTTTGGTAATAACAGTACCTTACTCCTGGGCGACTTTAACATGCACCATTCTAGATGGGATCATGATTCTAGTGATAGTTCAGAGTCAGACATGTTCATTGACTGGCTTGATGATCTTGGTATGGAACTGATGAATTCACCTGGAAAAGGTACATTCTATATACCACATATGATTAAACCATCAGTAATAGATCTCACCTTTGCCTCGCAAACACTGGCAGACATTAGATGACCTAGGATCAGATCACTATGGGATTATGTTCACTATAGAAAGTACACATGACAGGGTGCATCATCCCATGGAAAAATCATCATTCAATACCAAACATGCAGATTGGGAGAAATTCATATCAACCATCATTGCACTCAGAAATGGCCAGAACGTTCTTGATGCTGACCAATTCAGATCATTATCATCTTCAACGGAAGCTCAATTTCCATCTCAAGCTACAAGGGTTATCAATGCCCTTGATAGTGCTGCCTATCAACTAACTAATATAATCAAGGAAGCAGCTTTTGCTAGTATCCCACTTCACAAATTTGGGCATAAAGCCAAACC